AAAGTGTGGGATTTGTTGATGTGGAGAAGAGGGCTCATGGACAATGAAGTCATTGTCACTTACTGACCCCATGCTACCTGAAAAGTTCTGGCAGGAATTCTAAAAACTATGATGTTGTGAGAATCACTGACTCTTCTCTTTCCAGTTCTTACTCATCACCAGTAAATAACTGCATAATGGGTGGTGTGCAAACTTAAATCTGCCAACATGCCACTGAGGAGTTCAGACACAAACATAAAAGAGTTCAAAGGCTTTTCCTCAAGTCCAAACCAACTCTAAAAGCCCAACCTTTTGCAAAGCATGCTCCTGAGATAAAAGGAGAGTTCAGGAAAATAATGTCTTTTTGAGACACACACACACACATATGGTATTTAGGTTTCTTTGGGTATTTTCCAGCGTCTTAATATTTGTGCTTTTATTATAGCAACGTTTCGGCAGAATCTCATCTGCCATCCTCAAAGGATTGTTTGAGATTCTGTCGAAACGTCACTATAATAAAAGCACAAATATTATGACGTGGGAAAATACCCGAAGAAACCTAAATACCATACATATAAATACCGACGAAAACATAAGAAAACATAGATTGAGAGAGAGAGAGAGAGAGAGAGAGAGAGAGAGACAGAGACAGAGACAGAGACAGAGACAGAGACAGAGACAGAGACAGAGACAGAGACGGAGACAGAGACAGAGATAGAGATATATTGACAGCCAGCTGAATTCTCATGATTATCTTGTTTTGGCTTAGAGCCCTAAATAGATACATTTTTAATGAAAGGTACATATTAATTTTTCGAGCTCTAAAAAGTCACAACAGAATCTTTGCTTCTAAATCTGTAATTTTTACCTTGGATGAAAAAAAATCAAACCACCATAAGTGAATGAAAACTGCTAAGTCCTCCAATGTTCCCCAGATAAATACAATCTGAATAAAGGCTTCATGATGTACACATATCTGTGGCTTTTTGTTACTGTGTCAGGCTCTACTTTGAATGTATTTTGAAGTAATCTCATTGTAGGAGTCCAACTGATTACTATGAGCTGTTCCTGGAATGCTCTCTTGCCTCCACACACTGGTTATTTTGTCCTAGGCTACTGGATTGCCTGCTCCCTTCCGAAGGACATGAACGGGAAGACTACATGGAACAGTGAATGTTTGGGCTTCAGTTCTGGCCGTTTCACTCATGGCAGGGTCAATCAATTTGGCCTTCTAAGGAATAATAGTTGGGCTTGGCTTTATTTATTAATCTATAAAGAAAATGGGCCATGTGACCTACTCTTACACCATCTACTGAATCAAAAGGCAACTGCATCTACATGGAAATAAAGATTCTCCTGGCCAGCCACTTTCTGAAGATGTAAAGAATGCCAGGCTAAGAGGAGAAGTACTTTGTTCCTGTCGCATCAACCTTTGCAAGGTATCTGGGTACCTTGCGGCTTTCACCTGAGCAATCTTGAAGGTAGAATAGTGCAAAGGCCCACACACTGAAATTCAGCACCATAAACCATATGAGGTGTTTGAGAGAAAACCAACCAGCCGCTGGATGCTGAATTGGACCTTATGAGGATTAGGTACAAAGTACAAAGGCAGGATCTGAAAACTGTGTTATCAGAGAGTTGGAGCTCAAAGAACCATCAATAATGAGTTTAAAAGCACAGCAAGCCAGAAACTCAGTTCAAGTGAAGTATATTCCAGACTGGGAGACAGAAATGAAGTGCACCACAGATTGCAAACCAAAAGCCAGCAGAAAAACAATAAAGAGACCCTAAGAATTAATGGTTTCAAAAAGGAAGAAGGGCAATGTCTACAGAGATGAGGTTTAGAGCAAACAAGAGGGTAAGTAGCTCAGGATAGTTTAGCTACACATGGAAGTAATTGATAAAGATGGCATCCAAGTTATGGGTTTTTCACCTCCCCAGCTCTCTGCCTCTGGGGTTGAGAGATTTGACTTCTGGGAGTTTTAGAAACATTACATAGCTCCTTTCCCTCCCAGGCAGCCCAGAATTATGCCCTCAGATTCACAAACATACCCCGAATGAAATATCTTCTTCTTCAAAGGATCTTTTGAAATGTACCTGTGCAAAACAACCTTGGCTATCAGTCTGACTAACAGTATACAAAGTGGCCTCAGTGACATCTCTCAACAATGGAAAAAACCCAGACATTCTTGCATATAATCTGTCCTCTGTGTCCCAAGCCAATCCTTGGATTTTCTCCCTTTATTGAGCCTGTCTCACCTCTGTAAACAACTCAATCAGCTGGGCTTTTGTAGCCTGCTCTGGCAGGGAAGCCTCAACAAGCTCACAGTTGTATGTGAACAGTGGCCAGCAGTTTGCTGCAGTCAATCTTTGGCTGGAGACACACCCAAAATGTTCCATTTACAGCTTCCAGCCTCTGCTGCTTCTTAGTCTCTCTTTCTCTTTCCCTGCCAACACCTACAAAGCCCAAAAGGGGTAAAACCGAGGAGACTTCGATTTCTTCATTTTGTCCATGCCATCTTTACTCATCTCTAGTGGGCCTGGCATCCATTCCTCTCTACTATATTTCTGTTTTTAATGCCTGCTCACTAGACTGAAAACAACCTCATATGGTAACTCTATGCCTTTTAATATAGGAAAAAATATGGGGGAAACATTAGCCAAAACACACTATGTCCCATTCTTTGCTTTTAGAGAATCAAAAGGATATCAAATAAATGGAAATAAGGAAATCATACTTCAATGGGAATAAGGAAATATAAGTCACCCTGGGCAAGATGGGCAGCGTACAAGTTTGATAAGTAAGCAACACCTCTTCTACATACACCTCTCCTCTTGGTGCAGAGACAGAGGTGCTATTCAGCAGGTTCTGACCAATTCTGGAGAACTGGTAGTGGAAATTTTGAGTAGTTCAGAGAACTGGTAAATACCACCTCTGACTGGCCCCGCCCCCATCTATTCTCGGCCTCCCGAGTCCCAGCTGATCGGCTGGGTCTTCTTTTGTTGCCCTGCACAGGAGAGGGGAGCTGGAAAGCAGGTTAGCGGGGTAGGGAGAGAATGGGGATTTTACAGTATCTGTCCCCTGCCATGCCCACCAAGCCACACCCACCAATCCAAACCATGCCTACCAAGCCATGCCCACAGAACTGGTAGTAAAAAAAATTGAATCCCACCATTGCGCAGAGAGCAAGCTAGGGTCAATCAATAGGAGAGAAATACTAATACTAATCAGTAGGCAGAATATAAAATAACAGAGTTGGAAGAGATTTTGTGGCTCTTCCTGCCCAATTCCCTGCTCAAGCAGGAGAGCCTATGCTATTCTGGACACATATGAAAGAAATAACAAGAAACTCTAATCTAAAATTATAACACAAAAGAAGTAAAATAGATTAAAAGGGAAAAGAAGGCTAATGAAAGTAAGGTCTCTGGAAAAGAAAAATAAATAAAATTATGACAACAACTGTGTATATTAATGATAAAAGAAATGGAAATAAAAGTGGAAACAGAAGAATTTTGAGTTAGCGAATAAGGTGGGGAAATGGCTAGCTTATAAATTAGGAAAAGAAAGTAAAGGGGAAAATGATATTAAAATTACAAATTGGAAAAAATCATGGTATCAGATAATGCAAGCATTGAAAGAATATTTCATCAATATTTCGCAAAATGATACAAAGAAGAAGACACTCCCCAGCAGAAGTGGGAGGAATATTTAAAGAAACAACATTTACCAAAGGAAATAGATAAAGAAAAAGAGAAGATGAATGGTCCCCCAACAATAAGGGAAGGCTGTCAGGTGATTAAAAAAAAAATTTAAATAGGGAAAGTGCCTGGACCACATGGCCTCTCAGCTTCCTACTGTAAACATTTTGACATTTTGACATGAACTATTCTAAACTTTTAATAAACCTTTCCTTTTAAAGAAAAGTTAAAAAAAGAAAAAGGGAAAAGGAACTATATGAGAAACTAAGAAAGATGAATATAGGAAAAAGGATATTAGGATTTAATCCTAAAGACAGGGGTGAGATTGTTCGTTTGTATGTATCTGCTGTAAGAAAGATTGTGAGTCATGTTTATTTTCCTGTTTCTACCAATATATCTTTCTTAGCTTCTCACTTATTTCCTTTTTCTTTTCTTTGATTTTTTAAAATTTTACTTTATAATATCTCTTATTCTTGTGAAAATTCTTAATAAAACTATCATGTACAAAAATAAAATGTAAGTTCATCTGGAAATTTGACAAAGCAATTGCATTGGAATGGCTTGCATACAATATGAAGAAAATGAACTGGTATTTAGGAAACGGGGTTTTTCTTTCTCTTACTGTTTCCTACAAGCTTTCTGGTCTTCCCCCTTCCCTACAACTCGTTCAGGAGAATCTTCCAACTCTGCAGACCAAAAGTTAAAGTATATAGGGGCAATAGGAAAAGGAAATCACTCTCATTCTGCAGGTTGAACCTATTCTATTGAAAATATACATTTTAGTAGCCAATATTACGTAGTCAATAGAGAGCCAGTTTGGACTAATGGTTAAGGCAACAGGCAGGCCGGAAAGTGAGAGGTTGTGAGTTCCAGTCTGGCCTTAGCTGTAAAAGCCAACTGAATGACCTTGAGCCAGTCAGTTTCTCCCAGTCCAATTCATCTTACAGGAGTGTTGTGGGGAAAATAAGAGGAGGAGGAAGGTTTGTTGGATATATTCGCTGCCTTGAGTTATTTGTAAAAATAATAAAGTCAAGATAGAAATAAATATTAATAAAGTTACTCTAATCAGAAAAAAGAGGACATATAACGCACAAAGGATGCAGAATATTGATCTTTATGTAACCCATGTGGAATTGCACTCATAGAAGCCAATAAATATGTAAGATGAAACATATTATAACATTTTCCCCTTAATGTGCTTTGCATAGTGAGGGAATTCATATTATTTCTCTCTAGAAGGCATGGTTCTTATATCACTGATTTTAAACTGAACAAGAAATCTCATAACACCTAAGGAATCAAGGACCTGGGGGCAGCCCTTATTTTCTGTGCACATAGCTAAGGAAAAGTGAAATTCCTGCAAGTGATACAGTGTACATTGTTTTTTGTGATTATTTGCTTGAAAAGAAAATGTCAACAGTAGTAAAGCCATGAAAAAAGAAAATCAGGCATCCCACCCCCCACTCTGCTTGATGTCAAAGGGTTAAAGTCACACCAGGTTCTTGAAAACAGTTACTTCCAAGTCAGCATCTGGCTACTGCTGCGGTTAGTGGGAAGGATTTTGCTTTTTAATAGCATTATAAATAGGGCTGTGTTCAACATGCTGCAGACTTACTTTCTCTTTCATTCAACCTCCTCCCTCCTCCTGCACGTCTACCACAGCTCTGTAGGCATGGACCCATCAAACATCTTGCTCAAATTCATTGCCTTGCTTATGTACCTTCTCCCCGTTCTTCAGGCCTGTCCTCAGAATTGCCATTGTCATGGCGGAGACCTCCACCATGTCATTTGTGACAATGTTGGATTGAGAAGGATTCCCAAAGTAGCTGAGCAGACCCGGCTTCTCAATCTTCAGAGGAACAATTTCCCTATGCTGCCAACCAATGGTTTCAGAGAGATGAAAAATCTTGTATCTCTTCACCTCCAACATTCCCACATCAAAGAAATCTCCAGTGGAGCTTTCCGCGGCCTGAAGCAGCTGGTCTACCTTTACTTGTCAAATAATGACATCAGTACCATAAAAATGGGAGCCTTTGATGACCTGACAGAACTTACTTACCTCTATCTAGATCATAACAAAATATCTGACCTTCCCAAGGGGCTCCTCTCTCCACTGATTAATCTTTTCATCCTGCAGCTGGGTAACAACAAGCTCCGAGAGCTGAGATCAGGAGCCTTCCATGGTACTAAGAACCTTCGCTGGCTCTATCTCTCTAATAACTCAATCTCCTCCATCCAACCTGGGACCTTGGAGGATGTGGAAAACCTAGCCATATTCCACTTGGATAAGAACCAGCTAAGCACCTACCCTGTGAGTGCCCTGAGCAAATTGAGGGTGGTGGAAGACCTGAAGCTCTCAAACAACCCAATAAAGTCGATTCCAGATTTAGCCTTCCAATCTTTTGGACGGTACATGGAGACTCTCAGCTTGGACAACATGGGATTAGAAAAGGTAAGAATTTCTCAGAGCTTTCTGCCTTCTTTTTCCTCCTTTCTAGAATTATATAATGTATCAATTTGTCCATTTGTCAGCATAACCAAGAAATAGGGGATGAATTCTATGCAGGCAGGGACAGATCTGGTTCATGCCTTGAAGGGAAATTCCCAAGCACAACTTTTTACTTTCTCTGACGGGAATGAATACTGCTATCATTATTCTGAGATTTTCCTTATAATCCAATTTGGGGACAGCGGGGGAGGAGAGAAATAGAATATTACAATTAGGAAAAGCATTTCAGGAGTGTTAAAACTTTACATTTAGGTTTTATAGGGTCCTAAAATATGGAGTGGTGCAAAATATATAGCTCTCAATTGATAGGTGGGGTGGGGGTGGGGAGTCTTTCAAAACAGAAGTTAAACTACAAAGAAAGGAATGGCACATTTCCTCCCCTCCACAGACAAGTCTGTGTCTGCCTTGAAATAGTTATTTACTTCTCCTCAGAAACTGAGGACATCTTCTGTTGGGCAAAGAGAATGGGACCAAATTGGACTATTATTCCTGGTCACCCTTATGGTGAGGAGACCCAGAAGAATGGAACCAAGATCAGGGAAAACACTCCTGCTTCTTTCCTTTCCATTCACCCTTGGCATTGTAGTATCAGAGCTGAAGGACTAAGGGACCATCACTTTTCAATAGCACAATCTCTGCTGGTTTTAAAGAGGAAAGATGAACGCAGAAGGATAGAAGACCTTAAATCAGTGTTTCTCAACCTTGGCCACTTCAAGATGTTGTGGACTTCAACTCCCAAAATTCTTCAGCCAACACATCTGCAAACAGTAATCAGATAACAATATGAAGGTGATGGAAATTAAAAATAAATGTTTTTCTGGAGCAAAAGGCTACAGCTACACAGGTATTAGTTGTTGGCCATTTAATGAGCTGTAGACAAGACCATTAGTATCTGTCAGAGTAAAGTGCTTATAATTAGCAAACTGGCAGGCAAGTACTGCTGGGTTATATGGATTTTTATTAAATAAAAGTGGTTCTCCATATTTAAATTCTGAGGAATTAAACTAATCTGGGCAGAAAAAACAGACAGCAAACACACATTCTCTGCCTTATATTGTGCTTGTTTGCTTGTTTATTTTACCTATCAAATTTATATTGCCACCTGTCTCCGTAGTCAACTTACATGGGTTTTTTCTTTTGCTGTAAGAGAAACTAAATAAATTCTATTTTGTTCTCCTTCATTTTCACAATTCTTACTTGCCTCCATACCTGCTGCTCATTTCATCTCCTCTTTTCCTTACTGCCTTTATCTCATCTGTGAAATATTGTTTGTGAGCACTCATCCACCAATTTTGTTTTATATAGTAGCTGGCATACTGCTGACCCAAATAAAGGAAATTATTGTACACTAGCTTTCTTTTCTCAGAACAAATTACACAGAGAGGGAGGGAGGGAAAGAGAGAGCGAGAGAAATGGACTGAGTTTGCATTTCATGCTACATATGAATTGCTTAATTCTAATAAGCAAATATTTTATTACAGTCTTAGATGAGATCCACAATGCTGTTCAATTTACTCGTTTTCTCTCTTATACATATAAGAACATGTGTACATGTATATGCCTGCATGTATATGTGTACATATATAGATGTAGAGAATATGTAGAGAGTCCATGTGTGTATATATATATATATATATACAACTAGCATTGCCCAGCTGACAGAGCCCAGCTCTCTTTCCCAGTTTAAATTGACCACAAGCCTAGTGCTTCATCTTTTTAAGGTAACACCACCAGGATTTGGCTCATGCTGCAGTTAGGGTGACATGAGGATGAGCCCTAAGTGTCTATTGGGTTTTCACCTAAGCCACAATTGGCTAGTTTGCCCCAACACACTAAGCCTTAAATCACTTTTTACAAACTACTGTGGGTAAACTCATATAACATACTAAACCAGAACTCAACATTATGCTTTGTTTTAGTTCAATATATAAGTTCCATAAGCATTAAAGTGTATATGACACACACACTCAACACTGTCCAACTATTTACAAAGTCTGCACTACTATTACTGTTAATCTTCTCACCACTCCTTATCACCCATCCCCTCCCACTTGTGATTGTAGGACTGTAACTTTGTTGCTTGTATCCTTACGATTTATATTGACTGTTTCCTAGTATGATTTGATTGCTGATTGTACCCTATGACTATCATTAAGTGTTGTACCTTATGATTCTTGACTCTTGACGAATGTATCTTTTCTTTTATGTATAATGAGAGTATCTACACCAAGACAAATTTCTTGTGTGTCCAATCACACTTGACCAATAAAGTATTCTATTCTATCTATTCTATTCACATACATATTCATATTACAACACACACACATACTTGTATGGAAAGAGAGAAGAGGAAGGGAGGGAGGGGGGAGACAAGGAAGGAAGGAAGAAGAGACAAATGAAAGACTGTGAGGAGAGTTAGGCTCTGTTCTTAAAATACTGGATTATCACTTGTTGGTAAAATGTAATGACTTTCAAAAAGAGTTGGATGATTGATTATACAGCCTAAAGATCACTGGAGACAGATAAACTGAGCACACACAAGGATATTCCTCTTTTTTTTCTCCTCCTCCCCAATCTTATACTTTATTAAGAAGGATTTGTTTATTGATCATCTCTCAAAGGAAACTCTCACAGCACTTCACAAAGAGGTCCTGTTCTCTCTGGAAAGTTAGAAGGATGTTCAGGTAAGCAACAAAATACTTCCCTTCTTCTCAACGAATGAATCATGGCCCTCGTGCAGAAGCATGATATATGAGAATCTGGTTGTAAATAGGAAACAGAATGACCTCATGTCGGATATAGCATGTCCCTGATGGAACAAGAAACCACACTAAAGAGAAGCGGCAGGATGGAAGCCTTCCAGGTGAACAAGAAGTACTATTTCCAATGGCTTTAGTGCCATGATGAAATTGTCCAACTGCATTAAACCAGCAAAACAATCATTCCCCAGAAGCTCAAGGAACGGAAATCACAAAGTGAAGGCAGAATGAAGAGCTTAGTAAATTAGAATGCTAAGAAGCAAAATACTGTAAAGTAGAGACATACAGTAGGATGATAGATTGTTAAAGTGGGTAGCTAGAAAGAGGAGGGAACTTGGGTGGGAAAAAGAATTCATTCATGGCCAAAATAATGTGGAGATTTTTTTATGTTAACATAGACCTTTCTTCATTTACAAAATCTTTAAAAAATTTCTCACAAATTCTGTGCATTTTGGAAGACTGTGTGGGAATTTTGGAATAGGCTTCATGACAATCTGAGTATAAGCATAAAAAACATATCTGTTACGATATATACAGTATATATTGTAACATATATATATAAAGAAATAAAGCATTTCCAAAAGACGTCTGTGGAAAAAGGCATTGTGCACAATAAAATAAAGAAAATGAAGCAAAAGTATTATTCTAAACAAAAAAATACTCAATAATGAAGAAACGTGCACTGCACTGATGACTTCTTGCAATGCAGAATCATTGATCACATTTTTGATCTTCACTGTATACCAGCAACTAGATTGCTATTTAACAACCACATAGATTTTCAGCTTTTTTTTAAAGGCACACCAAAGAAATCCACATAGGAGCTGTCCACAACATCATAAGCACTTTTGCCTTTTTCAGTATCTCATTATGATTTCCCTCTTTGTCTTAAAGGAATGAGACACAAAAGCAGCTCAATGGGGAAGCAAAAGTTATCTTAGTGACATTATGACCACTGAGTAGCAAAATGGAGCTGCAATTCACAATTATTTTATTGTTTCATGTCCCAATATGATGATTTCAAAAGCAATACCCCATTCTTCTACCTGTAAAGGCATTTTATTATTGTTTCCTCCATCTGATCTTATTGTACAGTAGTTACAGAATACAGAATAAGAGAATTGGAAGGTCCTTGGAAATCTTCTACTCCTTGGAGGTCTTCTACTTCAACCCCCTGCTCAAGCAGGAGACACTATATCATTCTGGACAAATGGCTATCCCACCTTTTATTAAAAACCTCCAGTGATGGAGCACCCAAAAGTTCTGGATTTTTTTAGTACTAGCCACATATGGCCACATTATCCTAGAAAGTCTCTAAGATATGGTACCCTCTATACCACTAGAGAAGGATGAAAAGCCAGTTTGATCTAGTGGTTAAGGTACTAGGTTAGAACATAGGAGACCTGGACTTGAGTTCAAGTCCTGCCTTTGCTATGAAAGCCAGCTCAAGTCACCTCACAGGGTTGTCGTTGTGGGGAAAATAGGAGGAAGGTATGGTGAGAATGTTCACGTTTAGGTTATTTGCAAAAATGATAAAAATGGGATATAAACAAACAAATACAGTAAAACAATATCCATGCTCTTATACAAGGGTGGGATTCTACCAGTTCGCACCTATTCGTTAGAACAGGTTGTTAACATTCTAAGCAGTTGGGAGAATCGGTTGTTAGAAGAAATGACTGTCCTAATCCTGTAAGGAAGGCAGGAAGGAAACATTCTGGTGTTGCTTGCAGAAACTGCCTCTCCGTTAACCCTTATTACATTCTTGGCAGGACTGGACTTCCTGTCTCTGGAACTTCTCTGGAGTTTTTTTCCCCTCCTTTGCTGGTACTTTGCTTGTGTGGAATGACCATTCAAAGTTACAATGGCACTGAAAAAAGTGACTTATGACCATTTTTCACACTTATGACTGTTGCAGCATCCCTACAGTCATGAGAGGCCAGGCGAGGAGATGCGTGCCTCGATGTGAGTGATATTGAGTTGGCCATGCCCACCAACTAAGCCACGCCCACAGAACCGGTTGTTAAAAAATTGAATCCCACTCCTGCTCTTATACTGTAGTAACATAAGAAATAACTCCTTCCTCTTAGATTTTCCTGCAAGATTCATCTTCAAACTTACATTCTTATTCTACTTTGGCTGAGCAATTATATATAGTTTTCTGGGACAAACTGATAGCACTAAGATAAACTCCACAGAGTACCTATTTCTGACAGCAAATTTTTGATCACTAATTATGTGTTCTCAGTGCATATAGTCAGTAGCTAGCTGAATTTTCTTTAACATGACAGCATTTTACAAGTGGATGACATACCTAATGAAAAAGAACAGAGTGATCACTTAAAACAATTATTAAGGGCTTTAAGTAGTATGTTTTATGCATAACATGGGAAGAATTCTACAGCACAGTAAATTAGTCCGAATTAGCCCCAAGACAATAGTCAAACTAAAAAGTTTTCTTTAATTATTAATTCTACTGCGAATAGATTAATTTTGACAGATTTTAACAAATATGGTTAAGATCTTGTACAAAATGATTAATCCACTTTACTAAGATGTCCATAAAAGGGATTTACTATCATATTCCACACATTTTTGGTGTATTTTGTTCTAATGAAGTAGAATATAGTCAAAATAGATTTGTGAAGCTATCCAATACCCAGTTTAAATCAAGGTTTCAAGTTGGCTTTTTTTCCATCATAGTTAATCATAGTAATCATAGTTTTGGCGATTAGGTGAAAATGACAGTTATGATTATAGAAAAGTAAAACTTTTGAACCTTCTCTTTGATTTTGTAATTTGATTTTGACAATGTTACCAGATTGGAAGAGATGAATATTTTATTGTTAAAATGCTGGAATGGGAGAAATGCTCTTCGATATCCAGATGTTAAAAAGATGTGTGCTTTGAAAAATGGGAACTTAGAGGATTTCCTGAATATTTAGCTGTTTCTTGATCAAAAAGGTAAAAAAGGATTGAAGCAGCAGTAGGAAAACACAAGGGACACCCATGGAAGATTATGAGACAAGATTACAAGACAAAAAATATCTTCTGGAATAACTTTTGTGTATATTTCATTTCCCTGAAAAATATCAAGTGGACAGAATATAAAAAATATCATGGAAGTCATAATCAATAAGTTTATATCTATATAAATGACTTCCAAGAGAGTCTGTGCTGTTTATAACAATTATTGCAAACGAAATAAATACTCAGAGATAGGTTTAGCAGAAAAAGAGTAGGAATAGCTATCTTAACTCTTAGAGTTAATTTTTTAAAGCCAAGACTTTAGGATGTAAACATTTTGATTCTTCAGCACTAATGAATAACCAGTAAGGACCAAGAGACAGAGGAGAGGTATCTGAGCATCTGGAAATTTGCCTTGCTGCTTCTACGTAGATGCCAAGTGTAACTTTCCATTGAGAGTTCACTGGATTCTGACCAAGTCTGCAACCCTTTTGAGTCTCCACAAATATTCCTTTCTATATATGTGGTAATAGGATGCCAGAAAAGATTTCAGTACTAGAGGCCAAAAAACCATTTTGCTGGTTTAGGATGAAGCAATGTCTAAATAGAAATGGGAGAAGTTGAAGAACACCTTTCCTTTAAAACAGTAAAGGGCACACAATTAAGGTAAAGTACTTAACAAACACTCAAGTATTAGCTTTTCAACATATTCCCACCCATGCTTGTTTCTTTTTTACCACAGTGGAAAACACCTCATTCAACTCAATATTATGGTGTTTTATTTCCTAAGGATGCTTATCATCAAATAGATGGAAATGTGGACCCTTTCACATGTTAGGCAAATGACTATCAGGACCTTGTCATTGTTCCTTGACATATATGATTTTTTAATGTACTTATATTACATCCCATGAGGTAGAATTGCATGAAGGAATGTATTGTGTGAAGTTGCAGAAGGTGGAAAGAGTGTTCCATTCTACTTCTTCTCCTGATTCCCATCCTCTAAGATGTTATGAAATATTTTTACAACATCTGAACAGAATACCAAGCAAGACAGAGGTCAGGAAGAATAACCACTGGACTTTGGGCAATGGTTTTGCTTTCCCTTCCTTTAATTTCTAAAATTTTGGATCACTACCCAAAATTGATTGTTTAACCAGAACTAGAGGATAAACATGTTTTTAATTTATTTACCATTATTGCTACCTGCTCCTCTGCTTCAGTTTTCAGATAAAGCATTCATTGGCACAACTGCACTGAAGAACGTTCATATAGAGCACAACAAAATTTCCAGGCTTCCTAGGAGCTTTCCATTCACCCGTCTTGAGACACTCTCCCTGTCCAACAACCCTTGGCATTGTTCTTGTCAGTTAGCACCTTTACGCAGGTAAGAGTACCGATCCCGGCCATCTTGCTAATTCCTCAAAAGTATGTTGGGGAGGGGAGATGGGAATGATGGTAGTTAATGACTTAATAAAGAACATGAAGGGTCACACTGAAAATCTGCTTAACCATATTCTCCTGGGTGATTTTGAGGATTTTATTTTTTTCTTTAGGTGGCTGGGGTCTACTCGTACCCGCCCAGATGCAGTTTGCGCATCACCTCCTCAGACTCGAGGACAGCAGATTCGAGACACTGCTGCGCTCCGTGGCTGCAAACTTCCCTCTAAGAGATCCAAAAAAGGAAATCGCCATTAGACAGGCAATCCAGTTTTTCTGGAATTTTCAATTAAATATCTGTCAACCCTTAGAGGTGGTCTAGACCAGGAGTGTCAAACTCACAGCCCATGGCCCAGATGTGTCATGCGCTGGCCACCCCCCCTCGGTCTAGCAAAGGGGGGGAGTTGCGATATATCACATGACAATGTGTCATCGCGAGTTTGACACCCCTGGTCTAGACAAGAAGTGCCAACCATGACTAACACTATCTTATTGGAAGGTTAAAGTACACATTCAGGAAGGGTCCCTTCTGAGGTATTTACCCTGCCCCATTTCTTCTAAGGGCCAAGCTGCCTCTTATATGACTATTACCTAATCTCCTTTTCTTCCTCTTCCTCCTCTTTCTCTCTCTCTCCTATCTCTCAAAAATATTCTCACAATTACAAAACCTCATCCTGTTTAGAATGCAATATAATTTTTAGGTCAGTGTGAATTGACCTGGTTTGTCTCCAAAACAAAGCAACAGATGAAAAAAAGAGGAGTGAATTATTTCTGAATACTTCCGAGTAAACTCCAATACTTTAACTAGTTGGTTAGCTTACCACAATTAGCTTACCACAATACTTGATATATTAGGAGTTGTGAGCATAGAATACCAAAATCAGTGAAGGACTGAAGGCAAAACTTGCTTCTATCATGAAGCAAGGAACTTTCTTCAGCCTCAATTTTTCTTCATCTAGAGTATTAATGAATTATTCCTCTGGATTATTTGGAAAGGTTAAAGATTAGATAAAGGATGTTAACTCCCTTAAATCATTGAAGAGGCTAAACTATTGTTGTTTCTCTTGCTTAGAAGATCTCTTTTTCCCATGAACAGGAGCCAGAAAAGTAAGTCCAGGTAACTCTTCACTTCAATCAACCAACCAGAAAAGTACTGATGCCTTTCAACTCCTTTCTATCAGAAACTGCAAATCTCAAACGTATCTATATCCTGCAGCAGGCAGATTTCAGGTGGAATCTACCATACAATCTCCATGCCCCCTATATTATAAATATTATTTGAAATGATATTTTTTAGAAAGATAAACCTATGCATGACAAAGCTACAACAAGCCAAATGAGATATTGCCTATAAAATACAGCCATCTTTCTTGCTGTCATTCAGCCAGCCATTTTATCTCCAGGATTTGCCTTCCAACAACCAAGAAATGAACAGAAAGCATAAAAAGTATCCTTGCATATTGAAACATGTTAGTATTCTAACTGAAAGAATAGCATTAGTTTCTTTTACTCTATTCCTAGAGATTGTCAACATGGAAAAGGTGATGAGAGTGTGCTAGATGAGAGAAATGGAAGCCAGATGGTGGTATATAAGTTATTTACAGAACCATCTTATACTATGGGGAAAATATAATTCAAAAGTTAACTCAGGAAAGTCAGACATTGTATTTTGAAGATGAAAGGGTGAGAAAAGAAGGGCATTAGGGAATTCTCAATTTGCTTTAAAACTAAAACACAGGCATAGCTTTTTTTCCCTTCCCACAAACCAATTTTAAACAGGATTTGCCTGAAACCATTAGGATAGAGATTGGTCTTTGCAATGATCTTATTTTCAGTTTCATAGTTCACTTCATTTCTAGAAACTAATCCACAGTGTCCTTAGGTATTTGGATACCAGATGAATTATTTATCTAATTTTTAATTAATCTAAGAAATTGTATTATCTTTTTGTTGTCTTCCATTTGTAGCCCTTCTGTGTTTTCTCATTATGACTTCTATATTTTTGAAACCCAAACTTTTAAATATATGGAACAACAGTACAATGCCTTTCTCCTCAGCGCCTTTTTGATTGGAAGCAAATTAACAGAACAGTCCTAGGACAATCTTGTATCTACAAGATTAAAAAAAAACTGATAGGGAAAATAAGATTAAATGCATTTTAATTAGTAATCCTAGATACTACCTTACATGTTTGGATTTGCTGTGTATGTAGCAAAGTAGTTATATGTTATTGAATGGCTAACAAAATTAGATTTGTATTTCAAATCCATCCTCTGTGTTACAAGAACTAAAAATAGATATATGAAAAGGTTTTGACCTGATTTACTTGAGTAAGTTATGCTGTATTATTCTTAAGATACAGCTCATTGAACAGAGTATTTTCCACTTGAAGGAAGTTAAATGATGGCCCTGTATTTTTTAAAGAGAAAGGATGTATGATCTAGTCATAAGAAAAGAGGAAATTGGCAATTTACAATAGAAGAACTGAAGATCAGGGTACCTTATGGAACAAAAAAACCCTAAAAATGGAAATTAGATTTGTAATACTACTCATTCTTATGATGAGAAAGACTGATTAAATGAAATTAGATTTAATTTCAATTTAATTCTGATATACAGAGAAAATTGACTGCACAAGTAGGTATTCCTCCTCCCAAATTAAAAAATAAGACCTCTTTAATTTAAAAACAATCACAAATGATATAGGTTGTCTTTCAAGACAACTTGACCTTCATTCACTCTTCCTGTATTCTTTAATTTGCTACAGATTTAGAAGATAACTGGACCAATGCAAAATCTGATATATTAGCCAGCACCCTTTCTGTACCCACATAAGGTTGTCAGCCCATTTATAAAGAGTATCTTAACAGGCTGATGCAGATAAGACTTTTCCTTTAAAGTAGGAAATTTGACAAATGGAATGGAAGAGAGCAGAGACATGCCATATTAGAAAATTGACTATTTCTTTATCTCTGAAATATTGTTAGAGTTGACAAGATGACTGTGATTTATCATCATGCATTTTACAATACTATCATTTTAGTTTAATTGCATTGTAACCCTAAAGTTTCATTAAAATATATATTTATTCATTACTGAATGTAAATGACACCCAAGGGGATTTTATCTTCTTACTCCTATGTAGAAAGCAAATTATATAATTTCTTATGTACAATTTCCGTATAAATCTTTTGCTGCAAAGACAAAGTGATCAAGTTTCCATGCAGTGTATTTTTCTTCTGCAAGAAAAATAATCTGCTAATTCTGACAACAAAGAATTGATTCCCGTATTTATAGTATTTCCCAATTTTATAAATCTATTCTGGCAGAGAAGTATACATACTATCAAGCAAAATCTCTCTCTATATTTGTCTCTCATATTTAATAGGCAGAAAAAAATATCTGGTCGTCAGATAACGGAAATTTAGAGTCTCTTAATGATTGTCTAGTCCACTGGCATTTATATTGCCAAATCGTAGTCAAGACCTTAATCCTTAATTAAAATTTCACATTATTAATTGTATTGGAATGTGAATCAACATGGATTTTATAGACAAAACCTCTTTATTGTTCATCTGAGAGAGAAAAATATGCATACATTGTATTACAACCCATATCCTTAGTGATAAAGAGGGAAGGCTTAATATATATATACAAGAACAGATACATTCCAATACATTGGCTGGTTACACACCAGTTTAACTGAAAATCCTAACAAAGTCCCCTTCCTTCCTTATACAATTGCCCTGAGAAGGACACCATCTCACCACTTCCAGCTAGTTTCTCAAGGCTTGGTCCCTCTACTTTCAATACAACAGTAGAAATGGACTTTCTAGCCCTTTGGAGAAAGTAGGAGCAACTCTTTCTTCCCCACAAAGAGAGACAGAGAGAAATTAGAGGACTTTTCCAAATGCAGACCCATTCTATCCCATAAACCCATAGATTCTGAAAAGCCTCCACTCCTATCGTCATTATCAAAGAAGTGAAAAATCCAAAGGAAGCATGTCGATTGGGGTTGGGATCAGCACTTACCAAATTATGAGCAGTCCCAGTCTTAGCTGAGAGAAAGTGAGAGCAAACTCATAGCGCTCAAACTAAGCTTCAAATCATTCCAATTTATCACGATGTGTTAATGCAAATGAATCCTTCTCGTGGCGCTTGCCCATCTAGGTCCATGTAGCTATTTACACAGATATCTTCTTTCCTCTAGAAACCTGCTACATCTTCTGTTCCTAGTTTAGTCATGCCATCGGTTATATTTAATAGGAGTTGAAAAAGCTAATGAAAAACATTTATGCAGAAAGATAGTAATGATGGTGGGATAATTGTACAGGTCTTTTAAAGGGATGCTTTGCTTCAATGAAAGCACCAGCCAAATACTCTCCTTCTTCCCAAAATGCTTTATGAAGCAATGCTGCCCCCTCTTGGCTGCCAAGAACAAAGCAAAGAAGCCATCTGTCTCAACTTGCAAAACTTCAAGGAGTTCTCTACATATACTGTATGAGCACAAACATGGAAGCTTCTTCTGGCTTTTGCAGTTATCCCTAGAGGCAGGGCATGTGACCTTGTCAAAGCAAACCATGTTATTTCTTCATCTTGACATGCAGCAACCACAGTGCAAAGCTTTTTGTGAGGTCAAGCCCAACACCCTGCACTCATCTACACTATACACAGAAGGAAACTACACAATTCAAGAATAAAAAATGACTCACTACTATATCCTGTATATTCATTTTTTTGATAATCTTCTTCATGACTTCAGGAGGCACAGGTGAACCTCCAATAGCCCCTGGAAGAAGAAAAAAAGTAAAAATGTCTTCAAAGAATCTTCTAAGAATACTGCAGATTTTAAAATACAAACGTTCTTTATAGTCTCTATAGAATCCCTACTATAGTATTTCCCATTAGAGTTGGAATTACAGCCAGATTACATACGCAAAATAGGCAGACTCAACTTATTTGAAAGCAACTAGTTAGACTCCCAACTAAGATTTGTTTTTGTGAAGATTTGCTTTGAGATACTTCCATGCATTTTAATTCCTAGGGATACAGAATGCAGGTGCAACCAATAACATCTACTGCCACACACTGGTGAATATAAAAATAAATACAGTTCACTAAACCAATATGTTACCCTCCTTGCTGTTTCAGAAACAGAATTAGCAAAATAAGTAAAACAGAAACACAAAACAAGGTAAACTTTCCAAGCGAAATGCCAGCTGGGCTCCCTAGGGCTAGTCCATTGTTGGGTCCAACCCAAATACCTGTTCATCTGGCTGGCTACATTTTTCCAATGTGTTATCTTGCATGTGGACTTGTAAAGAAATAGCATGACTGTATGGTATCTGGGCTTTTAAGAACCCTTAGAATACGGGTGTGTTCCAACTCTGACCTTTCTACATTCCAGCAGAAATGTTTTTATATAATTAGAACGATCGCTTTTAAGATTAAGATTAAAATGCTTCTGGTTCAGTCAGAATGTCCCATTGTGATACTTGCACTCTTCCAGACAAGAACAGAAACCAGAATGCCTTGATCTGGAAATGATTTATGCACCTCTACCTCAGAGTTGATTTCTGGTCAGTCTTGGATAAGCATGTGTAAAAGCCCAGTTTAGGAAATGTTTCTGGAAAAATGCAGTCAGTAAGATGCATATTAAGCCAGATCACACTTGGGGAGAGTATATTACAAATGTATTTCTTTCAGTGATACCAAAGGCTGACAAGTAAGTGTTTAGTTCATAAAATGCCTTCACATATAGGAATTTAGCAACATTCATGTCTGAGGAGTTTAAACAAAGGCTGTGCAATATGCAAATACATTTAATTAAATGTAAGTTATTGATGAATTAAAAGGCATTACTTATTTGCTTTGCAATATTCAGGTTTCTTTACTCACCTCCTTGAAGACTTGAGAGATCATAGCTGTCAAAGTCAGGCTGGCCTAACATATCTATGAACATTGTTGGAGTGCCGTGCACATGGGTGCATCTGCAAAGAAAGACAAAGAATTACAGGAATTAAATGCAGCTGATATTTCCAATCAAACTTAGCTACGGGGCTAAGTGTCCTTCCTGTGTAGTTGTAGGAAACTCTTTTCCCATCAAAATGAGGCATGCATCTCAAATCCTACATTTTAATTTTAAAATCTGATATTGTGTCATTGGCATGAGTTTCAGAACAGAATAACAGAATTGGAAGGGACCTTGGAGGTCTTCTAGTCCAACCCTCTGCTCAACCAAGAAACCCTATACTATCCCAGACAAGGGGCTGGCTGTCAGATCTCTTTTTAAAAGCCTCCAGTGATGAAGCATCCACAATTTCTGAAGGCAAACTGTTCCATTGGTTAATTGATCTCATTGTCAGAAAATTTCTCCTTAGTTCTATATTGTTTCTTTCTTTGATTAGTTTCCATCCATTGTTTTGGCTTCTGGTGCTTGGAGAATAGGTTGCCTCTTCTTTGTGGCAACCCCTCAAATACTGGAACACTGCTATCATGTCATCCCTAGTCCTTTTCACTAGAGTAGACATACCCAATTCTTGCAACCGTTCTTCATATGTTTTAGCCTCCACTCCCCTAACCATCTTTGTCACTCTTCTCTGTACTCTTTCTAGAATCTCTACATCTTTTTTCATATTGTGGCAACCAAAACAATTAACCAGTGGAACAGCTTGCCTTCAGAAGTTGTGAATGCCCCGACACTGGAAGCTTTCAAGAAGAAACTGGACAGCCACTTGTCTGAAATGGTATAGGGTCTCGTAACTTGAGCAGGGGGCTGGACTAGATGACCTCCAAGGTCCCTTCCATCTCCATTATATTCTAAAACTGGATGCAATATTCCAAATATGGTCATATCAAGGCCTTATAAAGCAGTATTAACCCTTCACGTGATCTTGATTCTATCTCTCTGTTAATGCAGCCTGAGGCTAGATTGGCATTTTTGGCAGCCGCAGCACATGGCTGGCTCATATTTAAGAGATTGTTCCTTAGGGTTCTGAGATCAAATCAATAGTCATATTTCAGGGCAGAAAAGGAAGATGGAAAGAGGTATCCAAAACCCGGTTGTATATGTTATGTGCTTGGTCCACACAAGTAAGAGACCATGACATTTCAGTTCTATCTCAAAAGAAGAGAAAAATGTGCAAAAGAGGGACAGCGTGAGGTAGCAAGGGCCTAAACTAAGGGTAACTGTAATTAGCATTAATTAGTTAATAATACAAATAATCCCAATATTAATACTCTTTCCAGAACGTAGCTTCAGCCAGATTCTTACTTTTCTTTTTCTATAGCGTTCAGAGTGGCTTTGGCATTAAAGCTGAGACATGGGAAAATAAGGGGGACGCCATGAACAGCCATCACCATACAGCCTCCCACAGATCCTAGGCAGTGGTAGAGAGGGACAGGGATACAGCAACGAGCTTCCTAGGGTCAAAACAAACAAGATCAGAGCGAGTCATCTTCCAATGTAAGCCTTCATCCTGTTTGTAATCTTTTATCCCATAAGCAAGAAGAATCCCTACTGGAGATTTACAAAGAGACAGTTGGCATTACACAAATGGGATAATGACTGGAGGAGGTAAGGCCAGGCTGGACTTCTTCAGTTCCTAGTTCCATAGAATATTAGTTTCATTTTTAAATAGGAATTTCCACATAAAAATTTCCCTGTAATTGAAAAGTCAGAAACATTTACAGGATAAAAATAGGTTATAAAAATTCACATTGACGGTGTGTAAGAAGGCCAAGCCTTCTAAAACATGATGGCAAATACACATGATTGATTCTTATATAGTTCTTTGAAAAACACCTAGGTTACAAATCTTCAAATTGTATCCTGAAAACTGTAATACATTTTTATTAAAGCAAAAGAACAAAGATGACACAATCATGAAAAGTTCTCTTATCTGTAGAGATAGCATTTGAAGAGTTTCCATTCTGTACATAAAGAATACAGCAGGCAGAGGAGACTTACCATCTCATTTAGTCCCAGTCTTATACCAATAAAATTTGCATTATTCAAAATATTAGAGTGAGAAAGTGTTGCTCCTTTGGGACTTCCTGTCGTTCCCTGAAGGAAAGAGAAAAATTATTTACTAATTAGGATGATCCTAGCCAGGGGTGGGATTCAATTTTTTTAACAACTGGTTCTGTGGGCGTGGCTAAGTTGGTGGACGTGGCTTGGTGGTCATGTTATTGGCTGGGTGTGGCCAACTCAATATCACTCAAATCGAGGCACGCATCTCCTCACCTGGCTTCTCATGACTGTGGGAATGCTGTAATAGTCGTAAGTGTGAAAAATGGTCAAAAGTCACTTTTTTCAGTGCCACTGTAACTTTGAATGGTCACTCCACCCAAGCAAAGGAGGGGAAAAAAACTCCAGAGAAGTTCCTGAGACAGGAAGTCTAAGTCCTGCCAAGAATGTAATAAGGGTTAATGGGGAGGCAGTTTCTGTAAGCAACACCAGAATGTTTCCTTCCTGCCTTCCTTACAGGATTAGGCCAGTAATTTCTTCTAACAACCGGTTCTCCAAACTGCTTAGAATGTTAACAACTGGTTCTAGTGAATAGGTGCGAACTGGTATAATCCCACCCCTGATCCTAACACATTATAAAAGTTATAAGAGATCAATTGCTTTAAAATGGAATGCTATAATCATGCCCCAATTCTAAAAGTCCTGTTAATACAAGATCAAGCTGCATTTCAGGAAGATAGGAAGAGTCACACATAGCTCAAACTACTGTATTAGAAAGGAAAAGATTAAGAGACCATCTAAAGAGGACTGAAAGTGGAAGAAACAAAGGAATAGAGAGCAGCTGATTCTAATTCCAAGAAGGAATGAAAAAAGGGCTACAATTTTAATCCTCAAAGAGGCAGAAAGAAGTCATTGCCCCGTCAAGTAGGACTATGTGATTTCCAGAAATTTATTGGATTGCAATCTTTGGATCTCAAGCCTTGACTTTTGTCTAGAAATGCTTCTTTTATTTGGTTGGAATTCTCTGCTGATCAAGTTATAAATTGGCTATATTCTTCCCAAATACAAGGGCATTATTATGAAACAAATAAATAAGTAATCAAATTTATATAGCCATCCATCTAACTGAAGATAACTCTCAGTGGAGCACAAAAATATGCAAAACAAAAAATATCTAAAAACAGCAAAATGCAAATGTAAAAAGTAGTAAATATCCTAAAAACCCAAAATACAAGCATAGATGAAGGGAGAATTAAAAATGCCCCCCTCAACAATGACACTATTTAGATAAGCCTCCAGTTCTATAGGAGCCCCAGACTTAATCATATAACCAAATCTGAGGGCCTTTTGGAATATCAAAAGGGAGGGGGCCAAGTAATTTGGGAGGGGGAAGGATGTTGCATGAGGGGGGGTGAAATATAATATATGAAATGATTCCTAACATCTAAACTACCTTTGGGCTTCAGGGTAAGAGGCTTTGGGGAAATGTATCTCAACTTCAAAAAGAAATTCCTAGCTAATATGGCACATGCTGTGCTTGGAGAAAGTGTGCTCTCATTCTCTTAAGCAACACTGAACCATGCCGTCCAACGTTCCTATCATGTATTGGTTTAAGTAAAATATAACCAAAAAGAAGTAGTGATATCTCTCCTCCCAGAAAAACCAAATAGGCACTGGGTTAAGATATTTTAAGTTTGTGTAGGCTTTTATATAGCACTTTTCCTTCCCCATATTGACATATATTTTTGAAGTAAATATTATATAGCCACATGCTCAGTTCCATTCATTCAAAAGTCATAATATTTCACACTCTGAAAAATGAGATACAGGATGTCCTCAAGGTATGAGAAGCCATTTAATGAACATTCAACATTACAAAAGACTCCTCCCCCATGATGGGCTGTCCGCTAAAACAACACAAGGCTATGGCATACACTTGAAAGGAAACAGGGAATCCTGTAATTGTGGAAGCTATCTAGCAAGAACAAAGAATGCTTATTCACAGAGAATATGCACATGCAAAACTTGAATCACCTCTGGGTAGTTAGAGAACTGATAACAGGAACAAAAAGTTAAACATCCTGCATACCACAGCTAGAAGTTAGAAACAGAGACGGCCTGGAGCAAACAGAATGTGTATTAGATAACTCCTGAAGCATTAATTAGCCAATTAATGGCTTAGAAATAGGGACAGCTAGAAACTAATAGAACAGTTTGTTAGATCATTACTAAAACTTTTATTAGATGATATTTCTCATATATCCTACCTTATCCCACCTTCCGCTTTAGTGAAATTGTATAAAGCTTCCTTTATTCTATTGTTAGGGTTCCTAGGCATTTTCTGGCCAGGACCCTATTTTTTGGTGCACTTCAATAAAAGAAACAAAACCTGCACCTCGTGTCTGGTGATCTTCATCAGCTTTGGCACCAGAGTCAGACCCGAATTGGGGACAACACCCAAGCTACATATGACCCCATTTTAAAGTTATGATGGCTGCATATACCCTTACCACTCACAACAGGGTCACTGCAGCACCTCCCATGCAGCATTTGGGCCTTCTTCCCAAATGACCATCATGCACCATGTTGATCTCACGTTGTGGAAGGAGGGCAGGCCATGAATCTCCAGGCCACATGGCAGTAATCCAAAAGCGGTTGCCATTTTGTCCTGGCCTCTTGTGAGCAGGGATAAAAGGGCAGCCAATAGACAAACTCCTTCATTTTCTGCCTTAGAGAGGCAGGTCAACCCTTGTTGAGGCAGCAAAATAAAGCAGTTTTCTCGGGGCCACACAGCAGTGATCCAAATGCAGCCACCATTTTGTCCCTCCCACAAACAGCTTCTGCAATGCTGCGGAGACCTTTCTGAGGCAGCAGAATGAAGCATTCAGAAGCTTTCTTGCAGCAATGTGCAAGAAAGTTAGGGCAGCAAAATGAAGCAGTTTGTCCTGGAGACATGCGGCAGCAACCCAAATGCAGCTGCCATTTTCTGGGTGGGATAAAATGGCAGTTCCTTCCAGAATCACACCATGCAGCCGTGCAAAGAAGCTAGTCATTCAGTGGTCTGAACCAGGGGTCTCCAACCTTGGCAACTGTAAGCCTGGAGAACTTCAACTCCCAGAATTCCCCAGCCACCTGGGAGTTGAAGTCCTCCAGGCTTAAAGTTGCCAAGGTTGGAGATTTCTGGTCTGTACCACCTTGGAGTTCTTCAAAAGGCAAGTGAGGAGAAAGGTATTTGGTCAGGGGTGGGATTCAAATTTCTTAACAACTGTTTCTGTGGGTGTGGCCTAATATGTGGGTGTGGCTTAGTGGTCATGTGACTGGGTGTGTGTGGCTTGCTGACTGGGCATGGGTTGGTAGTCATATGATTGGGTGGGCATGGCTTGTATGTAAATATTATAAATATTTATGTAAATATTGATTTTTTTATTAAAAAAGAGCAACTTTTACCCAAAAGCAGGCAAAGCAGGCAGGTAGATTGAGTTGCTCACAGAATTACAGATTCACTTAGAGATCTATCTATCTCTAATCAGCTACCTGAGTCTGTCACATAAAATTTGCTTGCAAGCAAACTCATAAAATTTGCTTGCAAGCAAACTCACAAAATTAACTCACAACAGACCATGTATGTAAATATTGAATTTTTTATTTTAAAAAAGAGCAACTTTTACCCAAAAGCAAGTAAAGCAGGCAGACAGATAGAGTTGCTCACAGAATCACAGATTCCAGGGGTGGGATTTAAGTTTTTAACAACCAATTCTGTGGATGTGGCTTAGGTGGTGGGCATGGCTTGGTGGTCATGTGACTGGGTGGTCAGGGCTTGGTGGATATGCTATTGGCAGGGTGTAGCCAACTCAATATCACTCACATCGAGGCACGTCTTCTCACCTGGCCTCTCATGACTGTGGGGATGTTGCAACAGTCGTAAGTGTGAAAAATGGTCATAAGTCACTTTTTTCAGTGCCATAATTTTGAATGGTCACTCCACACAAGCAAATTACCAGCAAAGGAGAGAAAAAAACTCCAGAGAAGTTCCTGAGACAGGAAGTCTAGTCCTGCCAAGAATGTAATAAGGGTTAGCGGAGAGGCAGTTTCTGTAAGCAACACCAGAATGTTTCCTTCCTGCCTTCCTTACAGGATTAGGCCAGTAATTTCTTCTAACAACTGGTTCTCTGAACTGCTTAAAATGTTAACAACCGGTTCTAGCAAATAGGTGCGAACTGGTAGAATCCCACCCCTGACAGATTCACTTAGAGATCTATCTATCTTCAATCGACTACCTGAGTCTGAACTGGAAAGTAGAAGCTTCAGTCCTAAGGAAGGTTTAGCTCTGCTTTTAGATTAGCTAGAAAGCAAGAAATCTAAGGATTTCCTGCTTTCTAGCTAATCTAAATGTCCCAGCAGAGAAGAACAGCTGATAGTTGGGAAAAAAAGGAAAAAATAGTAATTTACCAAACCAGGCAAGTTAGATGGCTCGCATGCCAGGTAAGGAGTGAGTGGGCGGGGAGGGGAAGGGCCAACCAATGAAGCAATTTGCCGGTTCTCCGAACTACACGTGTGTGCAGTGTTTGCAAGAAATCTGCTATGCCGCCTGGACAACTGACAAGCGCTGTGCATGGGTTGAAAATCCTCTTGTTTCCTGCTTTTTTAACCTCAGCTGTGCTGCGCAAAACAGCTGGTGGTGGGGAAAGCAGGGAATAAAGGACAGCCTACAGTTCAGGCAGGTGGGTAGGCCAAACACCGAACCGGTTCAGTGTTAGCTGCTCTTCTCAGCTACAGGTTCTATAGAACCAGGCCGAACTGGTAGCATCCCCCCCCTGTATTTGGCCTGATAGGGTAGGAATCGGGCCTATGGCCTGGGAGGTCTCTTATGATAATGGGTAAAGGCCTGTTCAGACTCCAGGTGTAGGAGGTGGCAAGGGGCATCTTTGGGGTGGGGGAGGCCTTAGGTGGGCCAGGGCAGGTGGGTTTTGCCCTGTATTGGGCCTCCAATGGCTCCCCCCGCCACCCAGGAAGCACCCTGCTTTTCACTTAATGACTGGCCTGTTTGTTTAGCATTTCATTGGGGAGACCAACAATGGAGATGAAACCCAATGACTGCCACGACATGTGACTATAAAGGCAAGCTCCATTACAGTCATGAAGGACTTACCTGTGCTTCCACACCTGTCCCAAAATACCCTTTTCAGCAGGTTTGTTTATCCTTAATATATGACAACTATGTTTTTATAAAAAGCCATATGGCAACAAAAATCAGTATCGACAATTATTTGCTGTAAATTCTAAGCATCAGTTTATTCTGCTTGGCAAAAAATAGGCTTCCTATCTCAGATCATCATGGACTGCATTGTAAAAAAAAAATCCTGGAGAAGATATATAGCAGTTGATATAGTACTTACTGAAGTAAACTGAATATTAATTGGTTCTTTGTTGATCAGCATCTTCCGTATCCCCTCTAGCTCCTTCTTGTGGCTACTCTCTCCAGCTTGCATCACTTCCTGAATTGAGAATGTGCCAGGTAGCTTGGCATCCACACAGATTATAACAGAAAGCTCTGGTAATCTGATGCAAAGGAACACCCAATCACTTATATGACAAAAGGGAGAGTTCAACCTCTCATAGTGTAAAAATAAGTTTAATAAACAAGTCCTCAAACTACAGGTCAAATCAAATACGGGTAGTCCTTCACTTACGAGCACAATTCAGCCCAAAATTTATCTTACTGAGCAAGGCATTTGTTAAGTGAGTTTTGCCCCATTTTATGACCTTTCTTGCTATAGTTGTTAAGTGAATCATTAGAGTTGTTAAATTAATAACATGGATGTTAAGTGAATCTGACTTCCCCATTGACTTTGCTTGTCAGAGGTTTGCAAAAATTGATCAAATGACCCTGGGACACTGTAACCATCATAAATATGAGTCAGTTGCCAAGTGTCCAAATTACAACTATGAAGATGCTGCAATTGTTGTAAATATGAAAAATGGCCATATTTCTTACTACTGGTGTTACTTTGGATGGTCATTAAATGAATGGTTGTAAATCATTCTTATTGTATACAATTTTTTTCTGATGATGAATTATATGCCATAATGAGATTATGATTACCCTTAATGGAGAAAACAAGGTTTGCATGATTTGCGTGGCAATCAAAAGAATAACAGAAAAGAATTTGAAGGGACCTTTGAGGTCTTCTAGCCCAACCCCCTGTTCGGGCAGGAAACCCTATACTATTTCAGACAAATGGTTGTCCAATCTCTTTTCAAAAACTTCCAGTGTTGGAGCATCCACAACTTCTGGAGGCAAGTTGTTCCACTGGTTAATTGTTCTAACTGTCAGGAAAGTTCTCCTTAATTCTAAGTTGCTCCTCTCTTTGATTAGTTTCCGTCCATTGCTTCTTGTCCTGCCCTCAGGTGCTTTGGAGAATAAATTAGAAGATAATAAATACATTTGGAAAAAGATTAGGAATCCATGGCCACAAGCACTCCTTCCAGGAGAAAAAGAATATTCCTTGGGTGAAAGGAGTGGCTGTGTCAATGCCTGTCAGTGCTGAACCAGTTAATGAATACACTGACTGATTATTATAAATGTATTATATATGAGAGAGACCAACTGAACCAGGATTGCATATTTATGACCTTTGTCCATTATTATAACCAGACAAAGTGCTCAAGAAAAAAAAAGGCAAAATACGAACATTGTCTTGCTTATTATTCACATTAAGCATTTTTGAAGTATTAACATTAATTTAATCATAATTAAATTGAATTCAATGAAATTTCAATCATAATTAAATT